AAAGTACGGAGATCAAGATGGTCACTAAAAAGGATATCTCTTTTATATATTAGTATAGTAATATAGTAACTTTTTAAAATAGAAGGGTACAATGGTCAACAAAATATGGAGACCAATGTAATTACTAAAAAGGGTATCCCCTTTATATATTAGTATAAATATATATATATATATATATATATATATATATAAATATCCATGTACTTTAAGAGGAAGTCAACTTAAATTTACTCTATTGAATAACTCATATTTTACATTAAATTTCAATGATCCAACCGTTAAATTGAAAGTTTTTATTTCATATCAAGTCTGCAAATTTTTAAAAAGTTTAAAAATTATTTGATACTTCGTTTCATTAATTCAAATTGACGAATAATTATAAAAATATTTTATATGTTGATTTAAGTTAACGAAACAAAGTATCAAATAACTTTCAATTTTTTTATAAAATTTCAAACTTAATGTATGCATTATGAACTTTTAAATTAACAATTGAATCGTTAAAATTTGATATACAACATGCATTATTGAACAGGGTGAGTGGATCCCTCCTTTCTCTCTCTCTTTCTCTTTTTATATACATATATAGAGAGAGAAGACACCCATTTACTCTAGGAGTAAGTCTACCTAGATTTATTTCAATTAATAACTTATGTTCTACATCAAATTTTAATGATTCAACGGTTGAATTTAAAGTTCTTAATACATAGATTAAGTCTACAAATTTTTTAAAATTTGAAAATCAATTAATACTTTGTTTCATTAATTCAAATCGACATATAATTATAAAAATTTGAAAACCAATTTATACTTTGTTTCGTAAAGCTAGTGGAAAAGGAGATAAAACTCTAGGCAAATAAAGGAGTAAGACCACAGGCATTGGTACTAATAGAAAAAGACCCGAGAAAATTTAGGTACCAAAATCTCAAATAATCTCTGTTGTATATATCTTTAATAGGAAGAATGAAGGATTCACACTAGTACTTAAACAGTGGCTGCTAACAACATATGACAAGAGAAATATCTATGTTCATATACCTCCACCCATTTGAAGATTTAGTCTCTTTTGGAAGTGGAAACGGCAAAATCAAAAGTATAGGTAAGATAGGTAAAGATTTTATACCTACTATAAACAATATTTTGTATGTTGAAGATTTAAAGTATATCATACTTAGCATATGTCAATTTTGTGATAATGCTTAAACTGTAGTATTTTACAAACATGTATGTATAGTCAAGCAAGATGATGAGTCTGTACTTTTTATTGCTCAGAGAAAGAAAAATCTTTATGAGATTAATTTGACTTGTTTGAGTAAACAAAATGTAACTTGCCTAGCATTTAAAGAAGATGAAAAATGGATTTGGCACAAAAAGTTTAGGCATGTCAATATGAAACATATTTCAAAGATAACCAAAAATGGTTTACTAAATGGACTATATGAAATCTCTTAGAAAACTCATCTTCTTTGCGAAACATGTCAGAAGGGAAAACAAATTAAAACATTTTTCGAAGTTAAGAAAATTACTTCCACTTTTAAACCACTAAAATTGTTTTACATGGATATGTTTGATATAGTTAGGATACTTAGTGTAAAAGGCAAAAAATATGGATTTGTCATTAAAGATGACTATTCTACATATACATAGGTATACTTTATAGGCCACAAACAGAAATTTTGTTAAAGTTTTTGAAATATTCTACAAGTGTGTTCAAAACGAAAAGGAACTTTGCATTGCTACTGTCAGAAATTACCATGGAACTGAGTTTGAAAATTATTTTCAAAATTTTTTATGAAAAACATAACATATTTCACAATTTCTCTTCATCGATAACACCTCAACAAAACAAGGTAGTTGAAAGAAAGAATCAAATTTTACAAAAGTTGTTCAAAACATTTTTTTGCAAAAACAATTTTCCAAAATACTTATAGGTACAAATAGTTAACACAATATCTTATATTCAAAATAGAATACAAATAAAACCTCTATTAAATAATACTTTCAATGAATTGTGAAAAGGAAGAAGACTCAACATTTCACACTTCTATCCATTTGGATGTAGATGTGTATATCCTAAACACAAATGAGCAATTGGGTAAGTTTGATTCAGAAGTGGACAAAGGTATCTTCCTTGGATATTCTGTTACTTCAAATGCTTCTTAAGATTTCAAATTTAGAACCTCTATGGTAGAATAATCTATCCATGTGAGGTTCAATGATGCACTAACGACTAATAAGAAATTATCATATCTAGAAGAGGAATTTGCAATTTTGCATATTGAAGGAGATTAAATGAAGGAGTTAGATTTACTAATCAAATGATGGACTCTCTTGAAAGTCAGACAAATAAGTCAAACAAAGCAACCAAACCTCATAGAGACTAGGAGTTCGTCAACAATCATCCTTAAGATAAAATCTTGGGGGATAAAACTGAAGGTGTCAAGACAAGGTTTGCCTTCATAGATAATGTTTCATTGTCTTTGGTGTCCAAAATATAATAAAAGAACATAAACGAAACATTGAGAGTTAGCGACTCAATCATTGTTATGGGGGAGAAGTTCCATCAATTTGTAAGGGATGACGTTTAGACCTTAGTACTAGAGCTAGAACACCAAAACATTGTTGGAACTAGATGGGTGTTCAGAAACAAGATGAACGAGCAAGGTAAAACGGTGAGATATAAAGTTAGATTAGTAGCACAAGGCTACAAATAGCAATAAGGTATTGATTTCCCTAAATATTTTCTCATGTTGTTAGACTTTAAGATATTAGGATTGTTTTTGTTTTTGCAACTCACAAAAAACATAAAATCTTTTCAAATGGATGTAAAATGCATTTTTGAATGGAGTCATTGAGGATGAAATTTATGTTAAACAACCTTTGAGTTTTGAAAATCCTAATCATAGAGAACACATTTTCAAGCTTAAAAAGACTCTTTACGATATAAAACAAACTCCTAGAACTTGGTACGAAAAACTAAGTAATTTTCAAAGAGAACACGATAAATTATCACTTTTCTTTTCTAATTTAGGAATATAGTGGTACACTAAAAAGTAGAGACATAAGACAATTACATATATTGAAATCCCCCTTTATAATAGGTATATATATATATATTTGTAATTATCTTGATTTAAATAAAATATATAATTTTTTTAAAATAAAACTATTGAGAAAAGTTATAACTTAATAAAGACTCGTAATAACTTAAATGAATTGGTTATGATTAGATGATTGTCAACATTTGAGAATGAATTAATGGATTAGTCAACAAGAAACCTTTATCTCAAAATCAACAATATAATGTTAGACATTGCAACCAAATGTTAATTGTAAGTAAGTCATCTCAACAAATTTTAAATAAAAAATTATCAATTAAAAAATACTAATAGATTTATATTCCAAAAGTAATCATGCTCCATCAATCAAATCTCAATTTGAAAGCCACAAAAATATGGTTCTCTCCAGAATCATGTAGAGCAATTGCATTGAATTAAAAGGTAAAATAACAAAATAAAATAAAATGCTTAAGACTTAGGGAGTTCTGAGCTCAAAGGGATTATCTCGGGTTGATAAGGAAGAAGTAGTGCAACGGTGTAAAATATCAACATAAAAAAAGCAACAATAAGGTTGATTCAATGAGTTAGAACGAGATCAACTTTGAGTTTTATTTATATAATATTCCCTCCGTTTTTTTTTTCATAGTCGTTTTGTCAGAGTTTGTTGTTTTTTTTTCATTGTCATATTACTAAAATCAATGAGTTATTAATTTTTTTCTTCTATTTTTACCCTTAATAATTAATACATATTTCTTGAACAATGTGTGTATTTATTTTTAATGTCTACCTAACTTTTCTCTAACTACTCACATAAAGTTAATGTGCATTTATAAGAGCAATATGTTCTAAACAAAATACTATAAAAAAACAAAAAAAAGGGACAACTATTTAATGGAGTAGTTCAACAGTCTAAAACATGAAAAAAAAGGGTAAAATAGAAAAGTAAGTAATAAATATTTTTGAAAACTAAAATATCAATGATTTCCTTAAGTCTCGTGCAAAACCTTAAACGACTATGAAAAAAAAACGGAGGGAGTAGTAATGAACTCTTTTACATAAATTACATAAATAAAAGAGACGATCCTTCAAAAAATGTGTTTTTTGAGAAGTAATAACCTTCTCATACAAAGAGATTTACCACAAATTTCAGTGATTTAATTATCAAACACCGAAGTGTATGAATAAGTTTTATAATTAATGAGTTTATATGATAAGAAAAATGATAATTTGGTTACATAATTATACATGTTTATAATTAGAAAATCAACCTCATGATAAAGAAATGATTTTAGAGAAAAGAGGAATGAATGTTTAGTAAATTGCATAGAATTAATTTTCAGAGGTAGCAATTATTTAAAATTGACAATAGAGACTTAATACATAAGCTTCAACTATGTATAGAATTAATGGAAAGATAAATGAGAGTAGTTCAAAAGAGAATAAAAAAAAATTATGAAAGAACTTCTTTATTTTATATATTAAAAGAAATTTTAATTAAATATCATAAGATTTTTTAAAATAAAAAGATCTTTTAAATTTTATTATAATATACTATCCCTATCACAATTTTAACATTAAAAAATATTTTAAAATAAAATATGTTCACTTTTTAATATAGTATTAATTTTTTTTCTTCTAATTTGTAGCTTCAAAAATTATTTCACTATCACAGTTATAAGTAACATATTTATTAAGATAGTAAACTATTTTAATAAAATCACATAACAATCGATGTATTTATTATTATTTTTAATTCGTGTAACAAAATTTAAATTGTAATTAATTATTACAGGAGGGAGGGAGTAATAAATATTTTTATTAACGTCTTTTTTTAAATGGATGGAGCGAAGTGAAATTTTTATTGAAATAGAAGGGCGGTAACTTTGTCGAAACCAAAGGCGTATAAAAGAGGGCAAGGCATTGATGTTATAAACACTAGGCATTATTTCTAGGTTTGTCACGGAATCCCACATCCATTCCAAACCACTCCACACCGCACCCGCTTTTTCTCTATGCTCCCACTCGCGCTTCTCTCACCCAAACTTTCCCAACCCTAACCCTCTCTCGCTTTCTCCACGATCGATCTCCGATCGGCGTCGCCCTTCCCTCAAATCGCTTCGGATTTTCTGCTGCTCCGAGGACTTCTTCACGATTCCCGCTTCAAGCTTCCGTCGCCGTCCATCCAACGCGCTCTCGTCGCCTCCAGTTCTCCGCCGAAGGAACCAATCGATTCGATTCGATTGCACTGCTCTGCCTTAAGTTTTGCTGCGGCTTCACCGGATTTTTGATTCGAGAGGGCTTCGCTTCGCCGGATTCGGATTCCTCTGGTTTCCATCCTACTTCGCTCCGACGACGGTTTTCTTGCTCCGATTTCGTGTCTCTTGACGAAATCTCAATTCGGAGTGCGCTCGGGACGAAGTGAAGACTCGGCATCTGGTTGCGGCTCGCGAAGAATTCTGGAAGCGGCATCTTTATATCTCATCTCGTCGTGGCGGTTCGATTTGTTCGATCTTAACCTTAGTATTCTGCAAGTTGAGGGAAAGAGAAAAAAAAAGGCAGAAAAGAG